CTATCCCTAGCCATCCATAGCCATACCCAGCCATCCTTTGCCATCCACAGCCATCCTACACGTATGTACCTATAGTCCAGACGCTGTATCCTTCCCTGTCAAAAGAGAAAACGGAGCGATAGGGAATTAAGGGTACAGTGTCTTTACTAATAGTTAGGGAACGAGTGAAATATATTCAACCCGAGAAATAAAATTCATATCTTTTCTGAAATAGGAAAAACGTAAAGTCAACTTTTTTTATTTATTTTTTATCATACACTTCTTTCACATCGGCAGGATATTCTGATTTGTATTATATCTGCTAGTGCCATTCCTTTTGAAATGCTAACATTGTTCGTATTTAGACTTTATTAATCATCCGATCCAAGTCAAATAATCAATGTTAAAGGTGCTGTTACACGGGGCAACTTGCGCAACGCTGTAAAAAATTAACTATTTCGAGTTCAAAAGTTTTGAATTCAGATAAAAAACTCGGAACTTAGCCAAATTCAAGTTTCTGCTAGAAGTCGTTGTGTTTGTTATGTTTATTCTTTATAAACTTTTTGTGAAACAGCGTTGCGCGAAAAATCGGCGTCGCAAGTTGCCCCGTGTAACACCGCCTTAAAATAAACTAAAATATTCCATGTAAAACAAAAACACTTCCTGGCTGATAAAAGTCAGAAAGAAAGAACCCAAAAAAAAGAAAGAAAAGTAAAGAAAAGAAAGAAAGAAGAAAAGTAGCCATTTATCCAAAATTTGCGATATCCTCGTTTCAGTTCCATTCCTTAAATTACTTGGGGATCATTTCGGGCACAGCTTGGGGATCATTTGGGGTCGGGGATCATTTCGGGTCGAGGATCATTTCGGGTATTGTACAGTTTATTTTTCATCATCTCTTTATTGTTCATTTATGAATCAAGCAACACAATTTGTTCTCATTAATATTTATTCATTTATTCATTCATTTATCCAGTCATTCATTTATTCATCCTCTCATTCATGATCCCGTACTTCTAAAAAGACTTTAATTATTATAACTGCGAACTTTATAGAGGAAATTACACGGTAGCGTGAAGCTATCAATTTTGTTTTCGACTGTTGAAAACACCAGCGAGCGCAGCGAGTAATTACATGCTATTTTTAAAGACAAAAATAAAATTTGTATCTTCATTCCAACATGTAATGTTCTTGTCATTATATGAACAAACTTTATACAATGCTAAAATTCTTCGATTGCAAGCATTTCCAAGAGAATCAAAATACAAAGACATGGCGGCCATGTTGGTGGTATTGACAATAGGAACCTTTGTTAAAATACCACGAACATGGTCGCGATGAACGTACGTGCAATCGAAGAATAGAAACAAGTCATTTTTATTTTATTATGCGTTGGGGCTGTAACCAGGGAGCGGGGGAGGGGGGCACAGAGTGCACTTGCGCCCTCCCATGAAACTAAAAGTTCCGCTGATCCTTGACCATTACAATTCTAGTTGTTTCTAAAGATAATAAAAACTGGGTATAAGCAGTGGCAGTGTTCTGTCATTGCAAAAATGCACGCTCCCGGTAAAATCCCTGGTTACGGTCCCGTAACTTTTTCATAGCTTCACAAGTGAAAATATGGAAAATAGAAGTATTTTATTTTCCTGTAAAACAGTATTTTCCACTTATAAAGAAATTTCGTAATTTATACTTAAAAGTACTAATAAAATCGTAGAAATAGAATTGGAATTTCGGTTTACTGAAGTTTTCCGGTTGTAAAGTTTGCATTCTTTTATATCATATTACATGTCAGAAAATAGTGAACATTGTACACAAGTACTATCATCAAATATGAATTTAATTTCCCAATTTAATTTTACGACCACTGTACGTTCAGCATAGTGCAGTATAATAGTGCTTTTTATCAGTTTATTCCTAGTAGTAAATAAGCTACCAAGGTAGAAGATAAAACACCTTTCCTTTTGTTCGTGATTGGATGTTAATCAAACGGAACAGTTAATTTAAAAGGTATGAATTTACTACATTATTTGTAGCAGGCTACCTATATTACTGCCTTCTGAAGAGATTTGGTATAGTATTTTCTAAGCCGTGATAGAGACAAGTCTTTCGTTTAAAAAACGGTGGTTCGAAAAAAAGAAAAAGGTTTGCTGTATCCGCGACTTGTATATTACATTTACTATCCTGCTAAATGTAACGTTCGAATTATTTCTAGTTCAATGCATCAATTCCGTAAGCAAGAGTACGGGCTGCGATACTTTCGTTTTTTTCAAAGTTTAATTTTCCTTCCACTTGCTTCTTTGTTTTTTCACTCGCAAGCAATCTGAGCTCCCGTGCAAAGCGCGAGTTAACAACATGGTTGTATAAATGTGTAATGTTTTCTCCTGTAGGAAGGAAGCAAGTGCAATGCAAAAACGATTCCACTGCATCCAAAAGGCAAGTTTCTGTGGTCGTCCAGGATCCTAAACTTACTTCCGAGTTATTTTCCTCCATAAAATCAATGCCACGTTTTCTTTTGTTGCNGCATTTCCCCAACCTTTTCTTTTTATCCTTGCTGTGCGCCTCCCTTTTACCGAAGGAGTTATCACAGCCCTTGCAGTTGCACCTTTCGGTTGAACAAGAACTGCCAGAATTATAGCAAGGGCATTTTGTTCGACGTTGGCCCGGTATATCAGTGCATACATTCCCGGTCTTTTTCCCTGCTTCTCCACACCTACACCCATTTACTGGTTCACCACTGCTATTAGAAGGCTTATTTTTGCAGTTGAAGCATCTGCAACTTTTATAACACTGTCTCCTTTTACGAACACATGGACAGCGTGTTAAACCTCCTTGTTCATGACTGGTACAAAACTCTTGCATTCTAGATTTGGCATGACGTCCGCAATGACAAATCTTAGTGTCACTAAGCTGCAGCTCCTCCTTGTCTCGGACCTTACCTATAAGGACAGATGTTTGTACTGAAGCTATACAACAATGCACCAGGTTCACCATTTCAGAAAATTATATGGCTTTAGTCATTTGTTGGAAAAGCAACACAGTCATCATCTCTTTCTTGGTTTTAGAATCCCTGATGAGAATCTGACGAGATACTCATACTCATTACCGAAGTATAACATGATTTTAGGTGAAAATGGAAATTAAAAATTAAAAAATCATAACCCAATTAAAAAAAAGAAAAGATTATTGGTATAAATTGAGTGCTCGTCCTGTATACTACACACGAGGTCGCATTCATAATCTAGAGTAGTTAGAGTATAATACTCATCTTTTCAGCAATTTAAAGGACAATCAGTAAGAAGAAAATAATCATGGTAACAATTCGAAAAGAGATCTTCTGATGATTCAAGTACTAGTAAAACCATGGTAAAACAAAGGGAAAAACATATCCACGCACCCAAACAGTTTTCTCGTGTCGTTGAATTGTGAGACGTGAATGACAGATATATTCGTGGGGGTTCCTATGA